GGTTGTCGTTATGCGGAAAAGAGGAGGCATGTACGTCACACTGAGTCGTACAGAATAAGACACAAACCAAATAATTAAAATTATACGTATATGTCTGTGGGGCTCTGATCCTGATCTTGGCTCTGCCTCCTAAAGAAAGGAGCCTGTTCAATCAATTCCAGGACTCGCCCTGGTTCACAAGCACCAGAGTCTAACATCCGATTTACTTGCTGAATCTTGTTGCAAAGCAGCACTACTGAATATAAGCTCCCTGGCCCGTTCTCTCTCACCCCAGCAGGGCAAACCTGATCGCTCAGCCCGGTTTGGAAGTAAGGTGCTATTGCGCAGACCCTCGTCCGTAACACCAGCAAAGCGGAGCTCACCGATACAATACGCCGATAGGTCTCGGAGTGGGACGCGCTCTCAAACGGAGGGTTTCCCACCAGGAACTCGTAGCACAGGATCCCAATGCACCAGAGGTCCACCTTCTCGTTGTGGGCTTTGCCTTCGATCATCTCGGGGGGCAAGTAGTCCAGAGTTCCACACATGGTCTTCCTCCTGAGGAACCGCACGGGGGAGGAGGAGGAGGAGGAGAGGGCTCAGCAGCAGAAGGCTGCGATTCGCAGAGAGCCCAGGTGGCGCTCCAAGTCCCCCCGCAGCCCCCGGCGGCCCTCAGACCCATGGGACAACCGACCTGAGCGAGGGGGCGTGCACGGACCAGCCAAAGTCAGCAATCTTCAGCTCCCCCTTCAGCCCCATGAGCAGATTCTCGGGTTTGATATCGCGGTGGATCACCTTCTTATTGTGACAGTAGAGAAGGGCGTCGGCCAGCTCTTCCATGTACTGCAGAGACAGACAAAGAAGGGCTGTTGGAGGCCCTGAGATGCCCCCGTTGAAGAGAGGCCTGAATGAGCTAAACTGCCCATTTGGTGCACTAAGGAATGGGAGAGGCTGGCCCAAGCCCCCAGCCTCATTAGAAAACCCGGGCTTCAAAGAAATTATTAAAGGAACTCCGCTGGGCCTGCGGCCACCAATTAACCCAACTGGGATGTGCCCAAAGAGGAGACCTGACTCTGCCCAACTTTCCAATCAAAGGACAAAGATTTTCAACTTTCAGATCCTCAAGAGCACAGCTGACCGTGGCAGTTCTCCTCTCATCAAAACGCTGATACTTCTGCAGCTCCTTGTAGAGCTCTCCTCGAGGGGCGTATTCCAGGATCAGATACACTCGCTTCTTGTCATGGAAATAGTTGTAGAGGCGCAGGATGTTGGGGTGGCTGCAGGAAGGGGAAACACGTTAAAATGCAGCCCCGTGAGCAGGAAAAAACGCTTTCTCCAGCCTGGCCTCATCTTAGGCTGCAGGAGCCCCACGGTCTTGGGCTGGGTAACCCTCCTTCGAGCGCTGGAGGCAATATCACACCAAGGGGCTTTTAAAGCTTTAGCCTCAAATACTTGCGATCTCGCTCTCGCTCCGTGCTGGATGCACCCGTCATGCTCAGCCACAGGTCCGTGCGTTGAATGAGCCGCAAAAGACTCGGCCCACGCAGAAGGCCAAGTCAAGGCCAACCCCTGCGAGAACCAGGTCCGACCTGCGAGCCGCAGCTCCCGCCGTACCTGAGGTGACACTGGATCTCGATCTCCCGCCGCAGCTGGTGCTCCACCCCCTCCTTCTCCATGTGAGACTTGAAGAGCACCTTCAGCGCCACAATGAACTTGGAGTCTCTCTCCCGGGCCAGGTAAACGTTGCCGAACTTCCCTTTGCCCAACGGCCTCCCGATCTCAAAGTCGTCAATGGTGAACACTCGCCTTGGCCTGAGGTCCGGGGCAGGCAGGCACATTGCAGAACGGAATTAAAGGCACAGAAAAATTCCACTGAGCCAGAAGAGGCAGGGATGCGTCAAACTCTCCACCCGCAAGTTCAAACGCACGTTCCCCGCTTTGAAACCACTGGAAAAATACTCACTCGGGGCCCTCCTGCGAGGATGGAGCAACGGAAGTGGGTTCCACAGGCACTCTCCCTGGGATAGCTAGGGAGGCAGAAGGCAAAATCAGAATACTCCAGCACAAAACGGAACCCGACCCACAGCCCCCGACAGCCTCTAGAAGCCCACTGCCTTCTGCAGTTTGAAGGCCATCAGCCCCCATTGCTATTAAGTGCATCGGAAGCCCTTGGATCACCTCGAGGATGAGACCAACGTCCCCACCGGGTCCAGACCCTCAAGGAAGGTCTTACTTGGATTCTGGATGCAGGCAGGTTTCAGGGTGTGCTTCGCGCTGTTAGTGATGGCTCTCTGCACCAGAAGTGAGGCAGAGGGGGTGCTGGATGGAGTGCCGGTATCCTTGTATGGAAGGCGGTGAGGGCCAGCTGCCTGGCTGTTGAGGCGGTACTGTAGGTAGGTAGGTAGGTAGGTAGGTAGGTAGGTAGGTAGGAAGGAAGGAAGGAAGGAAGGAAGGAAGGAAGGAAGGAAGGAGGAAAGCAGATTGGTAAATCAGTGGTTTTGTTTTTAAATGAAAGATCTGCTGTTGACCAAGGGACTACATTTGGGCTTCTCTTTCCCTGACAGAGAAAAAATGCCTGGCTTCTAGCTAGCAGAAGGCTTCTGTGGATTCCTTTTCCCGGCCCCTCCAGGACAGCAGAAACAGGGTATGAAATACACTTATGTGGCTGACACAAAAAAAACCCCTAGCCTCCACGTAACTCTGCCACAGAAGGAGCACAGTCCCAACAAGGATGGGTTACAGCTGAAAGTAAAAACAAATCCAGACATTTACTCAGATATTTAGTCTTCACCCTGGCCTTTGGCGAGGGAGAGCAAGACCCCTCGCTTCATTCAGCTTGCCATCTTTTATCTTTATTTTTTTATGTTTTATTGATTTTCCGGTAATGTCTTTGGGGTGAGCTGCCCAGAGTCATTGAGAACCAGGTGGCATACAAGTTTAATAATATATTATATTAACTTCCACCTTGAATTAACCTGACAAATATGTAGCTACACATAGCCCCAAACACACAGGAAGACTCCGTTTTATTTATTTAAAACACAGATACAACTGCCCACCTTAAACCACACTCTGGGCAGCTCACAACCAAAGGATAAAAAACAATATATGCAGGGAATAAAAACAAAAAGCAATAAAACCAAAAACAGAAAAAGCTGGTGCTGCAACCCGACATCCTGATGCAGCCCCCAACACTCCCTTCCCGTTCTGCTCTCCCCCGATCCCAATGCTCAGGGGAGAAGCAGGTCTTAAGGGCTGCCCGGAAGGTTAAAAGGGAAGGGCCTGCCGGATCTCAAGGAGAAGGATGCTCCGCAGGTCAGGGGCTGCAATGGAAAAGTGCGTTTCCTTGGCCCTGCAAGATGGCACCATTTAAGGGAAGGAACCTCAGCCTGATGGAGAGCAGCATTTCTTTAAGAGCCCTGAACTTCAACTGAACCAATATCGCTCCACAAAAATTTGGATCAGGCAGGGAGCCTGCAGTTCCCTGCAGCCTCAGCCAGCCCTGCCAAAGGCGAAAAACTGGGAGCAGCAACAGGTAGAGAGACGCCCGCTCCCCACTCGTCAGTCTACTTGACTTTTTACCCCACCCATTTTTTTTTAAAGATCCCTTAATTCACAAGCTCTTCAAAATGGGTCCGGAAAGGAATCTGGCCCATTTGGGTTGTTGTTTTTTTGTAAGCAAGCAACAACCATCATTGTGGCAGTCATATTGCTGCAATTTTCCCACACGTGAAACCTGGGGTTTCTTCTTTGCTATCTGAGGAAAGATCCAGGTTATTCTACTACAAATATTACAACACATTTTTCAACCTATCTGTACCATTGCTCAGGATATCCCGCATACAAACTGAAGATGGAGATCAGTCTTCTACATCAAGTTCCTAGTTCTTATCCAGAACATTCCCACCGGCATTGAAAAGCGTCAGTATTACTTATTTTCCTATATCAACCACATAAGAGATAGTTTCAAATAAGAGTTAGATGTTGTTTTTTTAAACAAAAGAAAGAGTGTCAACCTATTAGGGAATTTGAGAGTCCCACCTGACACAATTTCATGCGAAGACTTACTGTGGAAAGGCTACTGTAGATACTGCTCACGTTCTCCTTGTTTGCCATCCTGGAGGAGGAGGAGGATGAAGAACCTCTTTCTTCTCCACAGTCAGAACAGCAGTGCCAGATGGAGAATAAATACAGGATGGATATCCAGCACCAAGCCAGAGAGGGCGTTACGGATGAGCACAGCTTCAGTATCAAGATGCTGAGAATAACTCTGCCATGGGGCAGCAGAGACTGGGTCCTAAAACTGATGACTGAGTTACAGACAAAAAAAAGAAGAAGAAAAGCCAGACAAGTGACTCAAATACTGTAAATGAAAGAATCAGTAGAGAAAGACTGAGGGGAGGGATTCGCTTTGCCTCCAATGGGGGGAGACAAGGTAAACTCCCCCCTCCAATAGTGAGCTTTTTATATCAAGGTGAGAACGTGAATAAAGATGCCCCTCCAAATGAAGAACACTTACAGAATTGCAAAAGGTAGAAGGTCAAGAGTACACAGGAACGGCCTCCTTATAAAATGATGCAAGGGACTGAGAAGGTACGCAAAGCGCTTACCCAAATGATAAATATGATGGGAAGCCACCAGCTAAAAATACTCCGATATTTGTAAAATCCCATGAAGGGTCCTCGTGTGCAAAACCTTGCAAAGTGACGTTTTGGGAAACCTTCATGGCTGTTCCCATTTTCTCTTCGTAAATAAGCAGAGCAGTTTCATTTATCTCACTCAGCTTCACGTCAATGCTAGGTAAACATCCACGCTCAACAGAAGCAGCGCTTCAGAGGCTGCCCCTCCTCGTCTTGGGGGTCAGAAGAGAGAATGTAGTAAAATAGGAAGCAACCGAGAGCCCCTCTGACCTAGCAGTGAAGGCCCCAGGCTAGAAACCGGGAGACGGCGAGTTCTAGTCCCGCCAGGAGCAGGAGGTATGCTCGCCACCTTGATTTATAAAAAACAAGGAAGGATAAAAAATCTAAAAAAACAACTGGAAAGAGAAATATGCTCAGGTTGGGATTATTTCTCTATCAGACAACGGCGTCTTACAGGATGCAGGAAATGTCACCGTGGCCGAACAGGGCTTATGTGTGGCCCAGTCCTGGGCCAGGACAGTGCTCGAATCCACCATTTCTGTCGTGACGGTGTAAATGTCAGGGGTCTTCCTCCCTTCCCCCAAGGCCATTTTTTTTATTATTATTGTTGTTTCAATTGATAACTATCACTGGCTTTAATCTCCTCCAAACTGCCCAAAGCTTAGGGAGGAACTATCCGTACATTTCCGGCGACCCAATACTCCCCAACCCTCCACATGCATCTTCCCTGGCTGGCCGCTCAGCAGTCGACGGGGATGATGGGAGCTGTAGTGCAGCTCATTCGGAGGGCAGCTGGTTGGGGGAAGGCGCTTCCGGGCTGCCGAGGCGCCGCTGCTCCCGGGGCGAAACCAAAGAAGCTTCCCTGAACGCGTTGCACTACAATCCCCATAATCCCCGGCGAAGCCGATCGACGCCGCACCGCCAGAGAGCGCCAAGTTGGGAAGAGCCAAGAGGGCCAGCGCGCCCTCGCCGCCCTCCTCCCGCGCGGTAAGTCGAGGGCAGCAAACGCGGAGGGGCCGGGGCCGCAGCCGCCGCCCTCCCACGTCCGCTTCCCGCTCCGCCGCATCTCTTACCGCTTCCCGGGCAGAGGAACCGCCGCCAGGAACCGCCGGGCTTCTCTTTTCAAATCTCCCTCCCGGCGCCCTATTGGCTGCCGCAGCGTTCCAAACGTACGCCGACAAACGCGCCGCCTCATTGGTGACGGCGAGCACCGCCCCTCGCCCTAGCGCGGTGGACTCTCGGCTTCCTATTGGCTGGCTCCTTGTAGCCGGCTGAGCTCCGCCACCTCCATTGGACAATCCTCCCCTTGGGCGTGGCTTCTCCCTTGTCCCTGACCTAAGGCCCACCCTTCTGGTAGAGAAGGAGAGAGGGAGAGAAAGGGGCGGGATTCTGGACCTGTGCCAGAAGCTCTGGGTTGGCCCAGTTATTGAAGGATCCATTCCACTTCCTAAGATGCAATGCCAGTTTCCGCACCTTAGCCAATCAGAATGAAGAAGAAAGCTACCTCGGTAGGTAAGCCGGCCATTTTGCGCCATGTTCAGAAAGACTCCGGGGACTGCACAGAGAGAGGGAGCTCTTAGGCAAAGCACCATTTAAAAGGAGCAAGGAAAGAAGGGGCGGGGTCCGTACGCTATGTAAGGAGCAGGTAAGGCAGCCAATCAGTGATACGCGGCCAACCCTCCCGTATGCTAAGGGTAGGGTGTGATGGAAAGCCGCATTAGCCAATCAGAAAGGAGAGTCTTTCCTTGTGTACAAACCGCCGCCCCCGCAGGGCTGTGGCAAGCACCTTTCTTTCGGCGCAGGTGCTCCGATTGTATCAAAATGTATCAAATGTATAAAAAAAAGTGCATAAAAGTCAACATAAAAACGAAACAGCTGGAGCTATTGGGATGGGAGGATGATGGGAACGGCAAGGAGCCTAAAAGTCCCGGCCTGAGGGCATTCGCTGACCAATAGCTACAAAGCAGTGTAAAAAGCAACGGTGTCGATAACAAAAACTCTCCGGGGTTCCAAAAATTACAGCGACACATAAACAAAGCAGGAGAACTTTCCTTGCCACCTGCGTTCACACAACACTTCATCAACAGTCCCAAGACAAGCGGGAAACCCCACGCTTTCGCCTTCTCTTTCTGCCTTTTGAAGACACGGATCAACGGAGGGACCGTCAGCGAAATCAGAAAGGAGCAGACCGGGGCGTTGCTGTTCCCCGGCTGGCGGAGACTCTAATCATCTCTCATGCCTCTCCATTCATCATCTTCTGTTCTCCCGGAGGAGGAACAGGTAAGGATATACCTCACTGACGATACGGAGGCGCTTCGGCCACGGCAGCCGCTATTTGGGGGACGACCAGTAGGGTCACGGTGGCCCCGGAGGCAGCCTCCCGCGAGGAGCCCCTTCCCTGCCGCCGCCGAGCCTCCTCTCTTCCGCCCGGCTCCCGCTGCATTCCGTCGCCGTCCGAAGCTCTTCCAGCGGCGGCGCCGTCTAATTTCCCAGGCGCCCTTGCGCTGCACAATCTGCATAAACGTGACGTCAAATGAAAGATAACCTGGCGGCACCGTCTCCGCTGTCCTTTCAGA